ATTAGTATTTTTGCAGGATTCTGTATGCACTCTTTTTATCTTTATTGTCATTTACACCTCTCGCTGACTTACTTTCCTCTGCCCCTGTCTTCCATATTCTGGGCTAGATGTTCTCGATTTTTTCCTTGCAAGTGTATATAAATTTGGGGCAGATTACAAAGAAAAAACCCAACAACTTTTTATTGTGAATTAGGTGGGGGTTTGCATATCAGATCATTTTTGCATTCAACAACTCAGAATACTTACCAAGCTTCCCAATGACTTGCCTTGTAACCCCCTTCCTTCTCCAAGTTACCACGTATCTACCCTCCAGCCGAGGGCTTCTCCTTCCTTCTCCTCCCATCCCCGGGGACCAACAAAATCTGTTGTTTCTTTTGTATGAAAACCTTTATCTTGATTGGAAAACATTGTTGCCATACAATAGCTGCCCTTTTGTGATGGACTCACTTCTCTTCGCATAATGTCCTCCAAGTCCATCCATGCCATGAAGTGCTGCAGATTCCTCATCGATGGTGCTCAGTATTCCATTGTGTGTATGCACGTTTATTAATGCAGGCTGCCACCAGTGGGCATCGAGGTGCTTTGCATCTTCTCACTGTTGTAAATAGTGCTGCAATGAACATGGATATACATGTTTAGGTTATGTTCTTTATTTCTGTAGGATACATACCAAGGAACACTATGGTGGGTCATATGGAATTTCTGTTCACAATTGTTTGAGGAAGCTATCCCCAGTGGTTGGGCTGTTTTATAGTCTCACCAGCAGTATATGAGCATTCCAGTCTCTCCACACCCTCGGTGGCCTTTGTTATTTTCTGTTTCTGCTTTTTTAAACTTTGCTACCAATGCTAGGGTGAGGTATTAGCTTCATTTTGGTGTAGTATGCAGAATTTTATGACCAGTGTTCTGATTATTTATTATATCCCAAGTTCAGTGACTAAAATCTGTTTAATAGTTAATAAATTTTAGGAATAATAGTCTTTCAACTGCACATGATGAATACTTAACCTTCTTTTCCCCTATGGACAAATTAATTTCCAAGTTCCTGTCTGGAACAAAAGCAGTATTTCAACTCACTTGGACCACGTGTTGACTGTAGCAGCAAATGATGGGCTTGCAGAGGTCTTTTGAGGTGACAGTAGCTGATACTCTAGGACATCAGTAATTTGTTAAAACTGGGCTCCTAGTTCTCCCAGTTTACATGAGGATTCTAGAGCTATGGCTCTGTTATATTATAGCTGTTGTTACCTGCCATGGAGTCATTTTCCAACCTAGGGTAACCCCATAGACCAGCGGTTCTCAACCTGTGGGCTGCGGCCCCTTTGGGGGTCGAACGACCCTTTCACAGGGGTCGTCTAATTCATAACAGTAGCAAAATGGCAGTGATGAAGTAGGAATGAACATAATGTGATGGTTGGGGGGTCACCACCACATGAGGAACCGTATTAAAGGGTTGTGGCATTAGAAAGGTGGAGAACCACTGCTCTAGACAGTGGGATTAGACTGTTCGGCTCCATAGGGTCTTCACTGACTAATGTTCCCGAAGTAATCTTTAGACCTTTCTAGTTTTTCATAGCCTGGATGCTCTGCTGAAACCTATTCAGTATCATAGCTACCCACAAGGCTGATGTTCATTGGCCAAGAATTGATCCTCCCACATAGAAGACAAGTGTTCTACTACTGAAAAAGTACAGTAGTCCTTGGTTTAAGAATGACATCTATTCCTGAGTGTTCCCTTAACCCTTTTGGGACCCAAAAGACTTAAAATACCCACCTATATGGTCTGCCTTTGGAGTTTCGTGAGAAGCTGTCATCCCACTTTTACTGTAGACTGCCATCTACTTGGGGTCTCTATAACAGCATGAGTCTGGAGAAAACGACCAAATCCCACCAATCCCAGCACCAGTGACTTCTTGGGACATATACATCCTAATGATTGTATCAAAATCTGTATTTCCAAAAAAAAAAAAGGCATTTTCATTTTCGTTCCATTACTGAAAACACATGGTTTCAACAACAGCGAAAAAAACCAAAGCATGAAATATCTTCTAAAGGGTTAACCTTAATTTGTCAGTCTGTCAGACTAGGTGCCTGTAGCCCTGCTGTCCACTGCCTTCAGTAGAAGAGGAAAGGGAGAAGCGGCAGGTGCCGATGATTGTGATGAGGGCTCTGGAGAGTAGGAGTTGACCCAGTCCATTCAGAGGGAGAGAGTTTTCTGCAACACTGGGTACGTGTTCATAACCTGAGGATCACACACACACACACACACACACACACACACACACCATGTTCATGAAAAGCATTACATTTACCTTATTCATATGTGTAGGTTCTTTTTATGGGTGGAGTTTTCCCTTCAGAAACTTCTGTGTTCATATATGGTTGTGGTTTACAGTCACTTTGGCTCTTTTGGAATTGTCAGCCAGTATGTGGATAGCCTCTCAGTGTTTTTAAGTATTTTAAAAGCCTAACAAACCACCTTATTGTCTTCTTCACTAAAGGCTCGGATCAGAAATCAAAGGCAGAAGTTGTAGGGCCCCAAAGAACAGAATCGTAGTGTTTCAGGTTTGTCATTTTGCTTTGCTCCGGACAAGGAACCAATAAGAAAAGCTCATGTGGTTCAAGCTTCCTGGAGGGCCTGCTTCAGCCCCATGGGCCTACCTAGTCTTTTTGTTCCTAGTAAGCTTGGTCTTCGGAAGTGACAGTCAGAAGGAGGTAGCCAGAAAACTTACCAGGACCTTCTGGTACCTGACCTTTAGAGACGTGCACTAGTTCTGCTGAACAGTTGACTTGCGGCTGTAGCTGTTAGTTGCCATGATGCGCAACAAGATTGAACCATTGGGACCCATAGGGCTTTCAATGACTGATTTTCACAAACAGACCACCAGGCCGTTTTTCAGAGTCCACCTTTAGACTCTACTGGAGCCTGTTCGCTATCATAGCAACCCCCAGGCCTCAGAGGGTAGTGGCTGTGCACGAGTCCCACCAGCCAGGAATCAAACCCAGGGCTCCTGTATGGGAGGTGAGAATCCCATGACTGGACCTCCACTGCCCTCTTCCTCATTCATCGGTAGCCTTCTCAGACCTGGCAGTTCTTCATTGCAACTGTAATAACTCAGTAGTCGAAGCTGTTTTATACACTCACATATCTAGCTTTCTAGGAAAATTTTTTAGTGAAGAGTAGACAGATGGTAAGTTGCCAATTTGAATTTGTTCCAAAATAAAAGGACACACAATGTCTTCAACTTTGAAAACAGGTGCTATCATGCATGGAGAACTACAAAACAGCTAAACGTGTTTTAGAATTTAAATTGCACGCGGAAGAATGGGAGTTGTTCTGAATTCATAAACCAGTGAGAATGAAGTACTTAAAGGCTTCAAAAAGTTCATGGCAAAATCTCATTTTCTTTTCATTGTTTCCCCCCACAGTCATTTGAAGCCTCCTAATATTGGTCCCAGGACCCCTGGTGATGTAGTGGTTCGACATTGGGCTGCTAACTGCAAGGGCAACAGTTCAAAAGTACCAGCTGCTCTGCAGGAGAAAGATGAGACTTTCAACTCCTGTGAAGAGTTAGTGTCTTAGAAACCACACGGCAGCCCTCCCCTTCTCCGGGGTTGCTCCGGGGTTGCTTTGCGTTGGAAGCAACGTGATGGCAGTGAGGATTGGGTTTATTTTTAGGGGCCTATTGGTCAGGCTGGGCAATTTTAATTCTAGCCTCCTAAATACAGTACAGTACTTGTTAGACACAGAGTTGTGGCACAAGGGGAACCCACTTTTTTCCTCTTAAAAAAGGAGGAAGACACATCATATTCCAAGTTTCAAATTTATATACACAATGTGAACCAGGAAAAAAAAATTTATATACAGAAATCCAAGTGACTTGAAACACTTTCAGAACTCCCCCCCCCCCCTTTTGGTGGTGGGGCTTATTTTCCTCTTTCCTACTGTGTACACTGGCAGTTGCAGGAGAACTTTCTCCCACAGTGGGGGTTGTGAAGGTGAGAGATATGTTCCTGGCTTCCTAGTTGAAGCATAATATTGTGTATTTTCCCCTAGAATAATTTTTGTTCCATAAATCATAATTCAGTGCTCTGATACTCTTCATGACACACTGTCGCTACAATGGAATGAAATTGCCTTCTGGAGTACTACCCTACGAGCCTAGACATCATTTATTTGGGAAATGACGTGATTTCAAAAACTTTTCACTGAAAAATCTCACAACGGATTGACTGCCAGTATCGTTTATACGTTGCCCTTTCAGCCAACTCTATGGTCTCACAAAAATGCTGAGAATACTACTTGTGAAATGGTATGGGACAATATAGCTTACAGCAAACAAGGATTTCATAATTCCAGTTTTAACTCATAAAGGTGGGTGGTGATTGGTGTGTGTGGGGGTGTACGTACTTGTTTTGGTATTTATACACATACACTCCTCTGCGAGTTCCATTTGCTCTTGTACAATGAATAGTGAAGTCGATGCTACTGAGTTATCCTACTAGACATTTATGTTTGAAAACTACACACCCTCCTTTCTCTTTCCCATTTGTCGCAAGAGGGTTAGGAACACAATATTACTTCTAGGTTCCATATGGGTACCAGAAATGCCCATTCATTATGACTGGTAAATGATAAAGTACCTTAAAACAAAGACCCAAAGCTGAAATAAGACTTGACTTTAAATGGTAAGATCTTACGGGAAGCACCTAGAGTTTCTTCATGTCTTTGTTAAGCTCCTTTTCAGTTATGTAACTATTTTTTTTCCTTTCAACATCACTATTCCAGATCATTTAAAACTATAGTTTAGTTTCCTGGTTTTACCAAGGCTGGATTTGAGGAGTCAAGGTATGGAAATTGTTTTGCATTTGCTCTGGATTTTTTTCAATTTGAAACATTTTATAATCCATGTATTTTGTATGTCAAACAATATTTTTACTAATACGTTATTTGAGTCAGGTTACCGACTAGTAAGTTGTTTCCTGGATCTTTCTTATAGGGGTCAAAATTATGGATAATAATGGAATACTTGGGTGGAGGTTCTGCACTGGATCTTGTAAGTATTTTAAAATAATCATACACATGCACACACACAGTCATTCAAACTTTAATTTTTAGAATGTCTTCACAGCATTGTTTTAATTAATATGTTCAAAATCAACACTCTTCAGAACTGCTACTCTTACGTAGAGCCAGCTGTATTGCATGACTGGGCATGCTGCTAGTATTCAAAGTGCGTAAGAAATGCAAATAATTACTTAGAATAAATCCCTATATTAGGAGTAAGTGTGTAACAATGGCTTTCAGTTTACAGTTTGATTTTGCAGGGATATCCCTCAACAGTCTGTTTCCCCTAAGAATGAAGAAGTTAGGTGCAGCTAACTGTCCCAAAGTGGCACACAAGTTCTAAGTACAGAACCAACCAGTGGTTGTTCATACTCTGGCAGTATGATGACAGTTGTGGTTAATGACGACTTGACCATGCTACTTCGATTTTAGTGGGTAGGGATCAGGGTGCAGCGTGCAAGAAAAGTTCCACCCAGTGGTATGGTCACACAAAATGCCTGTGAGAAACACTGCCTGTCCCTCGAGTTAGTGTTAATAAATCAATATTGTTGTTTTCCCCTTACAAATCTTCCATTGCCGTGACAGTATATTAAAAATTAAAAATTAATTACTTTAGGCAACTTTGTATAGTCTAAAGACCGCTGCACTGGCCTATGGGAATTTGAGGTTATAGAGCATGCTCTAGTCATGATAAAATCTGTAACTAAAACCAGACATACAAACTCCCTCAGCTTGGATGTCTTATAAAACAGAATATATGCTCAGTTATTTTTAAGTTCTCGTACATCTTCAACATTATAGGACTTAGAGTTTATTAGCATACTCTGTCTTTGAAGTTTTAGAGTACACTGTGTCTAAGAAGAAAGTGTTTTAATTATTAAGTTCATCAAGTGTTGCTTAAATTTGTTAAAGTGGGGATGAGTTTATCTAATTGAAAGTGATTAATTTTTTTAAAAGGTTTCAACCCTGAACTGCCAACGTTTCAAATAATCCTATGAATAGAAATGACCATTAGAGATTTACTTTCCTTTAGGCAGAACCACATTTAAATCATTTTAAAGAAACAGTAATTAAATGTGATGGAGAGTCTCATCTACTCCTAGAAATTCATCTCGGTTTTAATCAGTTTCGAGTTAGGTAATCCTTTCTGGCACCTAATCCAATTCTTACATCCTAAAGCTTAAATTTATTTTTTCCTACTCTCTACTGAGAGAAGCACCACTGTTTTTGTTTGGGTAAGATTTTCATGCAGATGAAGTCAGGCCCCATTCCACTCTAAAAATTCACATGGTTTTATTGCTGTATGTCTTGTCACATAATCTTTTTTTTCATCATTTGATTTTGTTACTGAGAATACACACAGCAAAATATACACCAATTCAACTGGTTTTTTTACACAGACTCTTTAGTGATACTGAATACGTCTTCAATTGTGTAACCATCCCCACCCCATTTTGCTGTCTTGTTTCTCCCCTATTAACACAAATTCAAACAGAACAGAAAAATACAAACTCATGGCAGCTGGTGGTGCTCGTGGAGGCTATTAGCCACATATTCCATATCTATACTTTCCTCCTGTTTTCTGTTTCCCTCTGTTTTTCTAGGTGAATAGGGACTAACTTGTGCCTTGGGTGGCTGCTTGCAAGCTTTAAGACCCTAGTCACTATGGAATTAAGAATCCGAACAGGAGCACTTACACATGTTATTAAATAACCAGTTAACTGGATGTACCATGAAACCATGCCCCTAAACCTCCAAATCCAGAAACCAAACGAGGTTCTTAGTTGTGTATAAACAGCCTCCGGAGCTCTTCTTTTGTGTGTGTGCCATTGATGTAAACATGGCTATTTCACGTTTGCCACTTAAACTTTTTATAGGTGTACAACTTAGTGACAGCAATTCAAACAATCGACTGTGCAACCTTACCCTTCATCAATATACTTACATCACCATAATCCTCTTCCCTGCTCCTTCTTCCCCCGATTCACTATTACTGACATTGAAATGGTCACCCAACATAGGGAGTGATGCTCAGCATCATTGGCCATCAGAGAGAGGAAAAGCCAAGTCACGATGCAACACCATTGTACTCTCAATGTGACTCGGCTTGGAAAAAGAAGAAAATAACAAATGTTGGTGATGATATAAGGTGATTAGAACCCTTTGTCATAACTTGTAATTTTGATCAATATTCTATAGTTTGTACCTCAAGTTGCCTCCCATTCTTGAGGGGAAAGAGCTGTGTGCTCTTTCATCAAATTTCGTATTTCCCAACTGTTTCCAAAAAGAATGCCAGTGACTTTCATATAATAAGGTGAATGGAGTTAAGCATAAGCACCAAGAAAAAAACTAGCCACAACAGAGAGAAGGGATAGCATGGCATGTTGCATTAGGGACGGGCTGGGAGTTAGGGGAGGATCAAGAGGATCTGTGGACCCACAAGCGTACAATCTTGGAATGATCATTGCCTCACCTGAAAACAACACAAATTAAACAAGGCTCTGGAGCTCTTTTGAGACATGGCAAGGTTTGGGTTAGTGAAGAAAAATGTGATGAAGCACTCCACGGTTACCCTGTAAACGAAAAGCAACCTCCGTTCCATCCCCTCTACCTTCCTTCTGGATCCAGTTCCTTATTTTTCCTCTTTCCTAACCGTTAGCATCTAAGGATACTGAACTGAAAAAAAAAAAAGAAAAGAAAAGAAGGAAGCACCACCACCCAGTGTCCATTTCTGTGCCACGCTCTCTCTCCTTTCGTTCTCCATAGCCCAAACCGAACCTGTGGCTGTCAATCCCAACACACAGCGACCCAAGAGGGCAGTCAACATGCCCCACAGAGTGGCCCTAGCTGTACCCTACAGAGGCAGATCGTGCAGAGCACCTGGAGGATTTGAACTTCTGTTAACAGTCATCTCTAGAGCCTCCAGCTCCCAGTTAACTATGATTCAGCTTTTCCCAAATTGTACTGTGTCTGTAACTTAACCAGGTACCCCTGAGTCTGTTGATGCACGTCACACAGAACCATCTTGAGTTGGAGTCGAACCCGACTCCATGGTACCGGGCTGCTTTTTCTGAAGGACATCGTCAGACCTTTCTTCTGAGCCTTCTCTTGGGTGGACTCAATCCTCCGATCTTTTGGTGGGCAACTAGGCACCTTAACAATTTGCACCAGGATTTGCTGACTTTCATTTAAGTATATATCTTTTAAATGCTCTGCTGGCTTACCATGGTCTCTTTTAGAAGGCCTGCAGAATGATGACTATTAGCCCGTGGCCAGTTTTTTCAAGCCGTTAGTGCCCATCAGTGTGGATTCTGACTCATAGTGAGCTCATATGTGTCAGGTACTGTGCTCCCTAAGCTGTGACCCCCTTGGAAGCAGCACACCAAGCCTGTTTTCCAAGGCATCTCTGGGTGAGTTCAAACCACTAACCTTTTCATTAGTAGTTGAGCAAGTAACCGTATGTATATCTTCCCTGGTCCGGCCTGTCAACATTTTATGATCAATGATCCTAAGTACCAATCTTAAATAGTATGATATTTGTCCTTCAGTTATTTGGTAGCACATCAGGGTTTCATTGCTAGTAGTCATTAAGATAATGTGCTATTTTCACCTTTTAGAATGACTTTAATCACAGCTGTTTAAATAGAAACGTTTAGGGTGGAAGTTAGTATATTTGAAAGTAAATAGATAATGCTACCTAGGAAAGGGGCCTATTGAACTACGGAAGTCTCTGGAGTATATTATATACACAGACCACAGTTAATATTAAATGGTAAGGGCAAAGTGTGGGTTCTACTTTAAGCTATTAAATTGCAACATGAAAGTGTCCTTTATTCAGCATAAATACGGCATTCATGTAAGATGAAATGCAGAAGGTGCCAAAGCCCTGGGAACCCCTCCCAGTGTGCAGCAGAGTGACTCTGTTTAATTTTCACCGCCTCTTCCCTCCTCCCAGCAAGCAGAACCCTCCCTCGGCTCTGACTGTAAGATTCCCACCCTTTCCTGTAATAATATTGTACAGTCCAGTGTTTGTGCTTTATGAGGTACCAGGATTTTAAAATAACCATTTATTTTAAAGAGAGATTTTCAGATATTCCATTACAAATTCTCCTGACACCAAATCCTTGTATTCCAGTGGGAACTGTTGGCTTTGGGACAGGGACTGGGAAAGAAAGGGAAATGTGTTACAGTTATTTTAAAAACCTTAGCCCTCCACAGTTTGGTTTATTTTTTTTAACAATGAAGGTCTGAATAGTGTAATTATTATGTTCCTGGCAACCCTTTAAGTCAGAGTCTCAAAAAGGCTCCATGGCGTTTCAGCAGTACTGAAACACAGAAATGTCGGGAAATGGGCTGGAGCTGACTCATACGATCACGTTGGGTTCCTGCAGAAATGTTATGATCTACCTGATCTAAAAATCAGTTGAGTGTAAATATTTCATAGCTTTTTCACAGCAAATGCCAAACGTGAAGATTTTTCTTTCCTTTTTTCTCTATCTGGAAAAAAAAGATAATTTGTGCAGGTACTATTTAAATGTATGTGTTAAATATTTTCTGTAAATAATTTGGAACAAGTAAATAGGTCTAAATTCTTGTATTAGCTTTCAAGATTAAATTTAATTATTTAAAAGCCTGTTCAGCCATTGCCTTCACTCCCTGGCTCTCTTTCCTCGGAAAGTTTTTCCTAATTTGTTTGATAAACAGAACTACTTCACATAGACATGTTTACATGATTTTATTATTCAAAGATACTATCCATTTTGAATTTTTTGTCCAAACTTTTATATTCGTGTGTGTGTGTGTGTGTGTGTGTGTGTGTGTGTGTGTGTGTGTGTGTTTGCGTGTGTTCCCTCCTCCTTCAAGCTGCGAGCTGGCCCATTTGATGAGTTCCAGATTGCCACCATGCTAAAGGAAATTTTGAAAGGTCTGGACTATCTGCATTCAGAAAAGAAAATTCACCGGGATATAAAAGGTATACGAAAGTCTTATTTCAACCTGAGGAAAATAGATGTAGTCTGAAGAAGCTGAATTCACTGTTCCCCCTTTCCCTCCTAGCTGCCAATGTCTTGCTCTCCGAACAAGGAGATGTTAAACTGGCTGACTTTGGAGTTGCTGGGCAACTGACAGATACGCAAATTAAAAGAAACACCTTTGTAGGAACACCATTTTGGATGGCTCCTGAAGTTATTCAACAGTCAGCTTATGACTCAAAAGTAAGGGGTTATTACAACAAATTATTTTGTTCATAATGATAGATTCATTTCTTTGCAAGTGTATAAGCTAAAGTCATACCAGATTGCCCTGTTTAAATTCCCTTGATACACTGGTAACATTTGAACTTCAACAGCTTTCGATCCCACTTGAAATAATAATCAGGTAATCTCTACGGTAACATATAAGGCTTCCCATGATCAGACCCTACAGTGCCTCTCCAATCTCATCTTTTTAAAAAAAATCATATTATTGGGGGCTCATACAACTCTTATCACAATCCATCCATCCATCCATCCATCCATTGTGTCAAGCACATTTGTATATTTGTTGCCCTCATCATTCTCAAAATATTTTCTTTCTACTTGAGCCCTTGGTATCAGCACCTCATTGTTTCCCCTCCCTCCCCCCTCCCTCATGAACTCTTGATAATTTATAAATTATTATTATTTTGTCATATCTTACACTGTCCACTGTCTCCCATTATTGCTCTCCTCTGAACTCTGTATGCTTCAGCCACAGTGACGTTGTTGTTCCTTAAGGTTAGCAAGTACCCTCTGACCTCAGGTCCTTTGCACTTGCCCTTTCGTCTGTGTGAAATGACTTTCTTCCCAGTCAGGTCTCTGGAAGGTTGAGGGCGATCTCTGGAGAAGAGCGCTTTCCCGCTCTCCTGTACACATTTACTTGCCCTTATCCCCGCTGTTCTCGTGCCCCGTTTTATTATTTTCCTCGTATCACACACCTCTCATTGTGTTATTTCTTTCCTTGAGAGCAGGGATTATTGTCTGTCTTGTTCACAACCTGGGCAACTCTGCTGTCTAGAATGCTGCCTGCTACATAGTAAGGAATTCGAGAAACCTTTTCATTTTCAAGAATGCTCTAGTAGTATTTGTTAACAACGCATTTCTGGACACTCGTTCATGCTGCATGACCATTCCGTTCCACAGGCTATTTTGTGGTCCGTATGTTGGGATGGAGTGATGTTTCTTTGCTTTCTGTTACCTTAGGCTGACATTTGGTCCTTGGGAATCACGGCCATTGAACTAGCCAAGGGAGAGCCACCGAACTCTGATATGCATCCAATGAGAGTTCTGTTTCTTATTCCAAAAAACAATCCTCCAACTCTTGTTGGAGACTTTACTAAGGCCTTTAAGGAGTTTGTTGATGCCTGCTTGAACAAAGATCCATCATTTGTGAGTATATATTGCTATTTCTACTACGGATTCTACGGTTTGTGGGGAGGACAATGCACGTGAAACTTGTCCAGGATCCAGAAGGAACCCGGTATTGCTCATTTCATTCAGTTCCAAACTAGACTTGTCATTCCTTTTCTTTTTCCCTGCTGTCTTCTGCTTGTCCTCTACCTTCCTCCTTATCTTATTGATCCCTTCCTATTTCAAAGGAAAAAGAGTTTGAGAAATAAAGTTTCCCTTAGGATATGTCCATGTCTAAAGTATATGTATAAAGCCCAAAATTATTTTCATTCATCCCTTTTCAGTTTTTATGAAAAGTTAATGCTTCTTCAGTTATTTTAATTTGATAGAAAATACGAAATGAAGTTGTAGGATTTTTCTGAAGCCTAATGATAAATTTGAGTCCAAGTATTTCATTTAAAAAATAAACTGGCTCTCAGGCTTCTAGAAACTAGAGCTATACAAGGATTATCTAAACTCATGATCATTCTTTTATTAGTAAAACACTAACCCCCCATGTGTGTATGTACAATAGCATAGTTACAGCCTTGCTAGTTTTTAATCAGTTTTCCAATATTCAGTAAATGTAGTAAACAGAAAACACTATTCTGAAAAGTTTGCATTTTTTTACCTTATTTTATGAATCCTGACATCTGTTTCTCTACTTTTGAAAAGGCCTGTCTTCTTGTTTGTTGGTCCAAAGGCCACTTCTTGCCTCTTGGACTTAACATATTGGTACCAAAGTAGTGGATTTAATTGGGTTGTTTTGAACCATTTCAAATATAGAATTAACTATTTTGCTATAGCATTTTAGTTGTCCTCATGATTACACCTTTGAGCGTGATATGAAGGACTTCTTAGTGTCCCCGCTAATCATGAAGAGCCTAGAAACCTTCCTTTTATCCTCTTACCACCTCCTTAGCGTCCTACAGCTAAAGAACTTCTGAAACACAAATTCATTGTGAAAAATTCAAAGAAGACTTCATATTTGACTGAGCTGATCGATCGTTTTAAGAGATGGAGGGCAGAAGGACACAGTGATGATGAATCGGATTCCGAAGGCTCAGATTCGTATGTACAAATTTTGTTTTTTATATAGACAGCATATGTTAATGTTGTAAACCTTTCATTGGTAGCCAGTGTGTTTGCTGGAACATAAAATATCAGCTAGCAACCGTGAAATTCTTCTAAAATCACACTTTGGTGAAGTACCATGAATTTGGAAAGAGGTTTTCCTTGGAAATGAATGGCTTGAGTGTTCGATGGTGTCGGTGTAACCCCTAGTGGATACTTGTATATATTACAAAATTTGGGAACAAGCGTAAAGAATTTATTTTAGCTTGATTCAAGTGATCCTGGGCAATCCCCTCTCATGGATTGGTGACACCTTGCACAATTCCTTTGGAGAATTGACCTCTAGGCCACGTACCAAGCCACCCCCAGACTAGTGCATTGTCATCTCCGTTTCTATTTGGTTGCTGCTCAGTGCGAACGTCGTTTGCAGAATCGCAGCACACACACGAGGGATGCAGTAGACAGGACATTTCTAGGTGGCACCAGCACGTAGGCCTCTGCTGGCTGAATTGGCACAAAAGCAACAGCACACTATTGAGATGACATTCTCAGATTCCTGCCTCGATAAGAAATTGCCCTGCCACAGTTAAACCCCTCAGGAACAGTAATGGCAGAAGCGAGACCATGAGGGTAGAGAGAAGGTGGGGGAGAATGGGGGAAGCGATCACAAAGAGCGGCATATAACGTTCCCCCTTCCTGTAAGGGGACAAACAGCGAAAATGTGGGTGAAGGGAGACAGCAGATGGTGTAAGATATGAAAATAATAATAATTTATCAAGGGTTCCCAAGGGTGGGAAGGGGGAGGAAAAAAGAGGAGCTAATACCAAGGGCTCAACTAGAACAAAAATATTTTGGAAATGATGGCAATTTATGTACAAGTGTGCTTGATACAATGGATGTATGGATTGTTAAAGGAGCTATAAGAGCCCCCAATAAAGTGATTTTTAAAATATAGAAAAGAGAAATTGTCCTACCTAAAATATTTGAGGGTAGGAATATAAAAAGAAATCTGTGTAACAATATTCATCACAGAACTATTTCCAAGGGTCAAAATGTAGAAACAACAGAAATGTCTACCAACCGATGAATGGATGAACAAAATGTGTGTGCGTATGTATATGTTATAGATGTGTGTGTGTGTGAACAATGTAATCAGCCAGAAAGATAACTGCAGGCTTGATGCATACTATAACATGGAGGAACCTGATCTCGCTTATAAAAAAATAGGCAAATATGTACAAATGAAAGTGTGTTAGTGGGGTAAGAAGGAAGGAGAGGGTGAGGTTCCTGTGGAGGGGGCAGAGTTAAGGGGCACAGAGTTTCTGTTAATGGTAGTAAAACAAGCTGGGAAAGGATAGTTACAATGGTTGCAAACTTGAAAATGTGATTAATGTCGCTAAATCATACGCATAAACATTTTAAACTGGTAAATAATTTGTTACATGTAATTATTCCATAATCAGTAACTAAAGTGTGCAGATTTTTCTGAGAGTATAAAAAGCCAGAATGTTATTATGCCTTATTCCAATAGTGGTTGACTTTGTGGCCATGACAGCCTCCCATAGAGCTGTAAAGAATATCATAAGCCACACTTCGTGGGGACACTGATGACATCAGTGGGAGAGGGAAGGGCAGTGGGGAGCAGGCATCTATCCCCATGGGGTTCAAAGGGTTCATGGAAAAATGGAATTAAAAGATGAGTTGGTTCCACAAACATCTTGAAGCCCCCCTTGTATTTTGTACACTTAGGGAGTTAAGAGCCACCGTCTTCAGTAAAGGTGCGATCTACTTGAAACTGAGATGCCACCACATCTTATTATGCTATGATTTCAAACAAACAAAATTGGGACAATTACTTCTTCAGCTTCTGGCTGCAGTGGTTTGGAGTTTTCATCCAGCTGAATTTTTTTAGCAACTTCTCCAGATAACTTTTGGCCGTCTCTTTAGGGAATCCACCAGCCGAGAAAACCATACTCACCCTGAATGGAGCTTTACCACAGTGCGGAAGAAGCCGGAACCAAAAAAACTACAGAATGGGGCGGTATGTATTTGCAGATGCCCACAGTTGCTTTAGAGACTTTTTCAGAGAACGTAGTGAGATGGCCCAAAATTGTTACCACTGAATATGCTTCAGCGCTCACCCACCTAATTGTTGTAGACTGTATCATTCCCAGCATAGAAAACTGAAAAGTAAACTCACTAAGGTGGAGTCAAATGCTGACCCATAACTGACCCTATAGGACAGGGTAGAGCTGCCTCTGTGGGTTTCTGGGGCCATGACTGTCTTATGTCCAATGCCACTATATTCTAGCTCACTAACACCTAGGTTATCGAACTGTATGTGTTCAGTTTCATTTCTGATGATTTTCAGTTTTCTTAGATTCATACTTCGTTCATTCACAGTTCTGATTATTAATTGATTTGTGCAGCTGTTTCTTCTAATTGTGAGCCATGGCTCATCAGCGAATGCTGGTGCCAGAGGCTTTACTCCCACAGGCTTTACTTCACGCATGCCAGTATGGGGTACTCCACTTTGAGAAGGCAGCTCTTCTGCAGTCATGTGTGAGTGCCTTCTCACCTATAGGGCTCATCTCCTGCCCCTATCATCTCCGACAAAGTTCTGCTTCTATTCATTAGGCCTTCAGTATCTGAAAAAATGTGTGGAGCTCTCCATAGGGCTTTCCGCAGCTAATTCCTCCAAGATTGACAATCTAGTCTTTCTTCAGAGCCTGTTCTTAGTCTGGAAGCTCTGCTGAAATCGGTTCACCTTGAGTGACCCTGCTAGCATTACAAAAACCGGTAACATAGCTTCCAACATCACAGCAACACACAAGCCACCACCGTATGACAAGCTGACAGTCTACGTAGAGCTACATAAATCCATTGTAATCATAAAGCACCAATGGTTCAGTTGAACGACGCTTTTCTTCCACCAGTGGGACTGGCCAGTACACCCCATGCACTGCCTCCATTGACCTGGCTGTGGAAGCTTGAGTGTTGCTATGATTCTGACTGGATTTCAACGGTGCCTCCAGCCTGCGATAGCCTAGACCAGTGGTTCTCCACCTTCCCAGTGCCGCAGCCCTTGCATCCAGGTCCTCATGCGGTTGGGACCCCCAACCATCAAATTACTTTTGTTGCTACTTCATCACTGTCATTTTGCTACTGTTCTGAATTGGGCGACCCCTGTGAAGGGTTGTTCGACCCCCAAAGGGGTTGCGACCCACAGGTTGAGAACCACTGGCTTAGAAAGAAAGGTCTGGCCACCTTCTTTGAAAGATCAGCCCATGAGAATTCTGTGGATAGCTGCAATTCATTCCACAACTGCTCATGAGGATGATCAAGGACTGGACAGCATCTTGTTCTCCTGTGCATAGTGTCACCATGATTTGGTGGCAGCTAATAACAAGAGCATTGTAGTCTTAGAAGTTATAGCTTATGGATACTGTGTTAGACAGGGTTCTCTAGAGAAACAAACCCCGGACACTTATGATTTGATAGATAGAGATGGTAGACAGACTAAGACAACATAAGAAACAGCTAATTAGTCCACAGAGCCGTACAAATGGCCCATTTCAACTCAGGGGGGCTCCTGGGTGCAAGTCAAGGAAGCAGACAGCTGAGTCCTCTGTGCAGCAGTACAGGCAGTTCAACCACAGGCAGCAAACAGCAGGGCAGGTCACCAACAGTCAGCCAGATGACAGGGTCCAACAGTCCCCAGCTCAAGTGATGAATACACCAGCAATGTGGATAAGCAGGTTTTGAAGGAACCTCAAAACTAGAGCGACATGGTCCATGGGTTGAGTGTCCCACAGGTAGTGTAGCTTGCAATTTGAGGCAGAGAACTAGCTAAGGCAGCTGCACACTGGTCCGATCATCAGAGAGCAAGAGACAGAAAGGCAAAGCTCGCCAAGCCATTTTTCTCTTTACCCTTCAATTACACTGCAACCTTATTAGTCCCACATGTGTTTATTGTCCAGGCTGGCACAATAATCCTACCTGTCAGATACTTATGGATGAATATCGATGATGGGAAGAATCATTGGAGCTTGTGTTATAGCAGGTCATTTGGAGAGAATTGAGGGTCTTAAAATAGTGCACATTTGGTATGAAATAAGAAAACCATAAATGTCCATTTTTCCCAACATGTATGATCTGTATTATTTATTCAAAGGAGCAAGATTTTGTGCAAACTCTGAGTTGTTTGTCTATGATAATCACACCTGCATTTGCTGAGGTGAGTGCAAGTTCATTAACTTTGGACAACTGTACTAAGTTGTAGAGTATTTTAAATTTTATAGCTATTGATCTTTTTTCTCAGCTTAAACAGCAGGATGAGAACAATGCTACCAGAAATCAGGCAATTGAAGAGCTTGAGAAAAGCATTGCTGTGGCTGAAGCTGCCTGTCCTGGCATCGCAGATAAAATGGTGAAGAAATTAATTGAAAAATTTCAAAAGTAAGCATAAAATGTCATTTAAAAAGTTTTCTTGACATTTTTCGTTGGGTGTTCATTTATGATGTGGTTGCCTAGATTCAGTTTAACAGAGTCACAGTTAAACAGTAGTATACTTGAAAACGGTTTGGTTAGTTGCTTATCTTAAATATTAATTTATGAAATTATCATCTTTAGGCTTAGAAGGCAGTATTCACTGAATGAGAAGGGCTGCTTGTTTAACTTTCCCAGCTTGTTGATAATATAGACAAAAAGTGATTGAGCAGTTTCTTATTTGGACCTCATCGTTTGAAGACCTACTACTATTTACACATTTCCAGTGGATCCCAAGTTTGACCCTCTTATGAAAAGGGAAGGGAAGGATTTTAGCTAGAGGAACCCATTGCAGACTGTAGAAGGGCTTTATGTTTGAATTTTGTTCCCATATTGTCTCTTGGAAATATTAGTTTACCTTTGTGCACATGTTTTAAACATCCTATGTTTAATTTTTAAAACTATATTTAACAAAACTTGTAGATACATACATGCACATATATACAACTCCTCAGTTCAAGGTAAGCCTAATAAAGTGATAGTAACGTTAGCCTTAAGTCCATTAGATCTCTTCTCAGTGCATTAAAAAATTTCTTTAGATTTGTGATGTCTTTATGACATGTAAAAAAGCACCCACCCTCATAGATCCTGTTGATAAACCCTATATATCCTCATAAATTAAAGCCACTCTTGAAATCCCTTAGATTGCAGTGAAAAACTCCTCCTCTGTTTCCTGATTGCAAACAAACCATTTGCAGTTGCCAAGTCAGCCTCAGAAGTCTTTTGAATCTTGTTCATATCTTAACGTGTACATAACGAGAGTCAATATACAAATAATTATCTAGCTGGTTGAATCAGTTCTTACTCTGCAGAACTTATACAGATGAGCACCATCAACATGCATACTATTACACTGATTCTTTTAAAACTTTCTTTTATAGGTGCGTAGCAGATGAATCGCCCTAAGAAACATCTTATGATTGGCTTGTGTTTCATATGGGCCCAGAGAAACCCACCAAAGCGACTTCAACCTTAACAGTGCTTAATTTAGGAGCTCCATGTGCCTTTTGGATCTTTGCAACATATTGATGATGAAATTGTAGAAGAACCTATTCAGCTGTTCTGTGATGGTGTTTATTATTTTATATTTTAAAAAGAGTATTTTGTAAGGAGTAACCAAATACTATAGTTTCATCCGTATTCTAGTAAATGTTGAGATACAGTTTTGCTTTTAGGTAGCGTTATTACTTAAGTTGCTAGGATAGGATGAATACCTTTCATCATTAGTTACCTGTACACTCGTGAGACATGCAGGGTCTCTCAAAGTCATCCCAAATTCAACTTTGTAAGTCACCAAACATGAAAGGCTTTTTCTTTTCATAGGCAATCATATTCTAAACAGGAGTACTGGTGGGGAGGTTGAAGTGACACATGTCTTCATCCAGATGGTTGTGTTAGCCCTCAGAAAGTAAAGCTGGAAAAGTATTGGTTCTTCTACCAAGCTGGTTGAATATTCCAGGCAGCTCACTGATTGTCACATTTGATAGCTCTGTGTTTGAGACATTTGCAGGCAACATGTAGCAATACAGGTACTTCTTGGTATGCAGTATTTACCTCCCATTTTAGAAGAAACAATTTACTCTTATTTAACATAGTTGGAAACTCAAAGCAATACCATCTATCCCAGAATGGGTATTTGGTTATTCTGGACAAAAAAGTCTGGTGTGGGTTTTTTTGTTTTCTTTTTGTTTTATCCAACTAAAATTTCATGTTATATACTTTGATTTGGGGAATTTAAAAACGCTGATATGAATATAACTTACACCAGCATATTTTCTCATTGTGATAAATTGTTTTGTCAACTATTTATACATTTTTGTTCCTCATAATTAATAATGCATTAGCATCATTTCTTCCTTTTTGAAGGGTATTTAAGTGAGCATTTTCTAGTTCATAAGAAAGCCATAGTAAGTATGGGTTGGTGTCTTTCTATTCAAACGTAAGTTAGACTGTACAGTTAATTTTCATTGATATTTATGGTACTGTTAAGTGGGTAATAGTTTTTTTTTATACCCAGTATATATATTATGCCTAAGTTGTGAACTGGGGCTACATTTCAATAGTTGTAGAATTATTGATATTAGTTTGAATAGTTAATGTTTTAATATTTGCATCTGCACAATTGAGTTTCTACACGTCTTTTTAAAAATCAGAATCCAGTGCCAAATGTTAGAATGAAGATAGACTTCAAGTTAAGAAGACAGTTTTCTGCCTAAGTGGCCATTACACCCTCTTTCTTTAAGATAATACAATTATTACTTGACAAAGATGTAGTGGTGCCACATCCCAACAAAGTTATTTTCATTTGTGCCTATACTGTAACAGTCCTTTTGAACACATTGTATTTTGAAGTAATGGTTCATTAAAAATTTTCACCTGCTATGTAACTGAAACTCAATTACGACTTGTAATCTGTAGAGATCTGGAAATAATTTTGCAACTCGTTTCATGGGTTGAATATTTTTGTAAAAGTAAAAGCAATGTTTATATAAGTCTATTTGGAACTTTAAGACACAAGTTTTTAAGACATCACGGGCAAATTGTATGACTTATTGTTATTATAGCTATTAGACCTATAAACTGTTTGTAGGTGAAGCATATTCCAGTATTTTGGGAGCTTTAAAAATAAATATTTACATTTCATGGTTCATGGTTCTCAGTGCTTGCTTTCTTGGGATAATGGTATTTTCATTGTTTCACATTTTTCCCCCTTTGCCCTTTTTAATTTGCTGTTGGAACATTATTTCGTTTATCGATGGCACTTTTTAAATTAGAAGATCACCTTCACATTGTATTCAGTTTTGTTTAGAACTGAAGTGAACATTTGCCCTGGTTTCGGCCTCCTATCCTGGCAAAATTAGTAGCAGAGTTCCATTTCACACAAAAACGTCCCGAGTCGCACTGTCAACTCTCGTTTCAGTAGGATGGCATGTGCAGATGTGAGCCCCACTGCTCTTCGCAGAGCTTCGAAACTGGCAAAGATATCCAGAAAATCAGCTGAGAAATAGCATGTAGAACAACAAACTTTTTCCATAGAAAAAGGTGAAGATGCACTTAGTGTGAGAGATAGGAAGCCAAAAGCAGAGAAGAAACGGGGATTTTCTGATGTAAGCACAATGCGAGTAAGGAAGTGATTTCACCCATCTTTTGTCAATAAAAGTTGCATATTGACAATAACCTGCCTGTAGAGCATCAGATTTTGAAGCCAACATCTGGTAAATATAAAAATGTAAACACCAAGCTCATTGGCGTCAGTCGATGCGGACCCATAGGACCCTTTCTTATTCTAAAATGTGCTTACCTCCTTAGTGTTACTGTTGGGTTCCCAAGGCACCATCATTATGGGAGCAGAGAGCCTCATTGTTCTCCCTCAGAGAGGCTGGCAGTCTCAAAACTGCTGACCCATATAGCCCATTATGCCACCAGGGCTCCTTGTAAAGATAATGTACTTAAAAGTTACAATTGATTAATAAAAAAAAGATGTTCTCCAACAGAATGCTATAACTTCCTGGAACAATGGAAAAATTTTGAAATGGGTAGAGAGTAGAATTTTGATTGATTTATTCAGCATGGTTTCAGTAATATCTTTTTTATTTTTAACCACTTTCAATTTTTTTTCTTCTCCTCCATGCCATACATATTCCCTTGTTCTGTAACTCTCTCCCTTTATCCGAGGTCAGAACCAATACTTTCTGAAAGTAATTAAAACAAAAGAAATAATATACTCTGAAAATTATTTTAAATAAATGAATTTTCTATCACTTTTTATTCAAATAACATCTAATTTCCCTGCTTACATACATGCAACCAGATCTGTGTGTGTGTGTGTGTGTCAAGACAGATTAGTTAAACAAACCAGCCTGTTTACTTTTGCCCTACATATAATAGGTAATAAAGAATAGAGAAACCATAAGTCAAACATTATAATATCCTCATCAGACATTGAACTTGCTTTAGATGTTATTTTAATTAATGTCCTAGGCTTTGAATTCTAGAAAATCTTAAGATTAATTCTCAACAGGTTCTGTTGACCAGGTTAATTCCAACACCTCATTCCCCGGGGGTGGGGGGGCATGCTTGCCTCACATGTGTTCTAAAAGTCGAATACCTTGACACATAGCAAAATCACTTTTAATGAGCTCAGGTAGCTCATGAGGACTGAAAGCTGTAGTCTTGTTTTAACACATTGAAGATCGGATTTTTTTTTTTGCCAACTTACCCAAGCAGCTGAGTATTTTTTCGGCTGTTAGGGTTTTTTTTGAATTACACCATAAATAGGTTTACATCTCATCAACGTTTTATCATATTTATTTATAACTTTCAGTTTTTGAATATAAAACGCCTCACATTATGAAACAATATTTTTCAATGTATGTGGAACATTATTACTTTTATGAGCTATAATCTTCATGAAATTATAAACTTGTAAAAATAATCAACATAATCCATATTACTTTGAAAAATTAGAAGAATTAGGGCTAAGAATCTCGTCACGTCTTTTTGTGTATCGGGAGACCACTTGAGCAATTTAGGTGATGTTTTACATTTCACTGACGTTTGATCATGGTAAGTGCACGACTCCTTGCAAAACAATTCAAACAAATAGTAACTATTTGATTTAACCAAAATGGACTAAAATGCTAAAAAAACAAGAACATGAAGAAAATCGAGTTTGATACATTCACTACTGATGTAAACACCTAAATAGATGAAGTAGTTAAAGTATATCCAAGCAAATAGCATCTGAAGACAGCGTGTAGAACTCACGAATTATCTCGTGATCCGTCCCGTCCGTAACAAATGGCGCAATGTATTTAAGAACAAAATTCGCAGCATCTACTGAATTAGTAAATGGCATCAGAACCCAGTACCATTTGCCAATCCATTTTATTGCCAGCCCTCGGTGTTGCAGAGTGTGAATTTAATTTAGAATGTTCCTGTGAAGGCATGTGTAAGGGAGGTTACAAATGCCCCTTCACCTGCCATGGTGCTGGTGGAGAGAGGACCGCCAGAGCCCTTTCCGAGGGTGTAGAAGTTAGAGGTCTAACAATGAGAGCCTTCGTGGAAGGAGGCAACAGCAAGTTCTTTGATACATTTGACATCACATCTTCGAAGGTTCTCCTAATGCCAGTGAGCAGTCATTAAAATAATTTACGCAAAGAGGTTCCTTTGGGGGACCCTAAGGTGGTCATATGGAACAGGACCAGAAATGTTTATAGAGTTGTCAGTATTATGCCAAGTAGTAATTCCATGGTTTTAGCAAAGTCCTGTCTTCAGCAGTCGATGTGGTGCAAGACGCTGCATCTTCCTCATCTTCATCTAGCTGGAGGCTACCAGAGGACAAACGGATTCTGGCCACCGGCGACCGGATTCCTTTGCCGTATAGGGAGTGGTAATCGGGGTAAGGACTCTCCGATTCGGAATCGCTGGATTCACTAGCTACGTACCTTTCCGCTGCCGGCAACTCCTGCTCTGCAAACATGTATGTAAACAGGTCAGCTTTGCGACTCAGAGCGGGACAAGGCCCTAAAGGCCTAAACTCTGACCCAAAAGGAAAACGGAGAGTTTTCATATCTGATTGGCCCTGGGACCGTTTGGGGGTTTGCTCTTGACTGTTATATGCAAATGCCTCTACCACTCTTGGGTCTTCCTCTTCAAGATCCACATTAATGTGGCTCCTACCACTAGTTCTGGCCATAGCTTCTTGGAGTCCTTGCAAGTCTTGCTGACAGCTCTTCGTTCGGATACTCCGTGGACTTCTTTTTGGTGGTTTCAGTACCGAGGGCTCTAGACAGCTGTCTGGCCCTTCCCTTTGCTCTGCCATGATCGGAGACCGCCTGGGCACCTGAGGTGGCCTATCCACATAAAAAAAGACTTGGGAGGGCATAATCTCCACCTGCTGACTAGTACAGGGAATATAGGGCACATCTGTGTAAGTGAGCTGCCTGGCTGGACTCACTTTGCCAGTGAGGCCAGAAGATCTATTCATGTGACTGTTCGTAAACATACAGCTTGTTTGGAAGGAGCTTAGAGGACTCTTCTCCTCAAAAAAGTCAGCGGTAGGCTCCGGGTCAGTGTTAAAGACAGGGTCTGTGTACATAAAATGGAAAGAGGAACTGCTTTGGGACAGATGCAACAAGGCGGGTGCTGCCTCTGGTTGGGCACGCTCCAGCTCCGCAGTCAGCGTCACCTCCCCTGCCGAGTTGCTCCTCCTCCCGTCCAGCACTGGCTCCGAGGCGTGCACTCCGTCGGCAGATCGGTAGCCCCCACTGCCATAGGCTAGTCTCAGATCTTCCACCTTGAGGGGGAAAAAAATAGGTTGGCGAAAGAAGGAAAGGCCCTTTGGTTGGGAATGGAGACCTTTGATTAGCTTTGAATCTGGATGAGTTTTCCAGGTGATCATTCATATATATATAATCAATGACTACCATAATAACTTGTAGATCTCAATATATGTGTTAGAAAGCACACATGACACTATTCCCTCTTCATACCACCCCATTCTCATATACTCAAGATCTCTCTGTGTACTTCGGCCAGTACAGTTGAATGTGCCTATCCGTGAACCGGCTGTCAGGAGACCCAGATTGGACTCTTGACTATGTGGCTTCAGGCAAGTCTCAACCTCCGTGGTCCACCCTTCTCCCTATTTTCTTTCAATAGGTGGTGAGGAAGCTAAGGATGGCAGGCAGGGTAGCTTATATACAGCATACCTTTCATATAAAAATTTCCTTTGACCTCAACAAAGAGATGAGTTTTGGGACATTTAACTGTGTGTGTGTTGGAAGAGGGAAAAATTTAACAGTTCACAATAGAAAACTCAAATCCATCCTACAGTTCTACGGAAACAGTAATTTGTTCTTAAGATAATATTACAGAGCAAAAATATGTTAACATTTTAACAAAGACCTATGAGGGTAAGGCTATAGGTAATTGCTATACAATCATTGACCATTATTACACAAAAATATCAAAATGAGTATCTCTTCTTTCTGACTACATCCTCTATCTCGGCCTATTCATGCCCAAAGGCAGTGTTTACATCTCTCTAACCCACTACACCAAAACAACAGTTTGCCATCCTCGAGGGGCTCTTAATTATATTCCTTTTAAACATCTTTTGAGTTGGGGCACCAAAAAGAATGAAGGAGCACAATCAAGGCCATAGGGTGGCTGGGATAAAGATTCCCAACAAAATTCGCACAGGAAAGCCATCGAAGCCTTCAAAAAATGAGCAGGTGCATTGTCGTGCTGGGGGGGGGGGGAATTCCTTAATGCAGCTTTTCTGGCCTTTTTCTCAGCCATGCTGTTTCTATTTAACAAAAAACTTCTCCCTTTGTCCTTTGAGAAAAATCTATCAACATTAACCCCTTGGGTCTCCCCAACACCATATTCTCTCACGCTGACTTCTCTGCCCCCACATTGTCTCAGAAGCCACTCTTTTGATTGGACCTTTGGTAGTTTTATTGAAGTAATAATAACATACAATAAACTGCATACATTTAAAATGCACAATTTGATGGGTTTTAAAGGAATATGAACCCATGAAAACATGCCCACATCAAGAGAGTGAACATACCCATTATCCCTCCCATTTCCAGGTGCCCCTGCAGAATTCTCTCCACTGTCTTTCCTCACCTTTTCTGAATCCAGACAACCACTAATTTATTTTTTGTCCCTATAGAATTAGGTGCAACTTGGAGAGCTTTATATAAAACTTAAATTTTGTTTGGCTCCTTTCACTCAGCATAATTATTTTCTGATTTATCCATATTGCTCTTTTCATTAAGAGGCCATGCCTCTTTTGTTACTGAATAGTATGCATTGTATGGATACATCACGATGTGCTTATCCATTATCTTGAGGGATGAAAATAACAATCACTTATTCCTGCTCTTGCTTTGGAAAGTTCTTCTAGGGGGTTCCTAATGCAAGCCAGTCTTAAACTGTAGGTTGTGTTCAAGCCTTTCCTCCTTGGACTGGTGAGAAGCAGTGGCAGAAGCCCCACTGTACAAGCACACTTCATTTCTCATTTTTCCTTTCAGACTGTAAATTGGGCGATGGAAAGTGCATATCAATATTCTACTCAACAACCGATACACATTTTGTTTCTTGCAAATGATGGCAGTCCCCACAGGACCCCTCTTCCTACCTGTGTTTCCTGTTTCCATCCCTCCTTCTCTCCAAACCCTCTGAACTTCCGCCTTGGGTAAAGGGTTGAATCTCAAATGGTTGATTATTCAAAATTGTGCTTATCTCCTTAGTGTTAATGTTCTGTGTCTTATGGGGCTGAAAATGGAGCTCCGGAGTTGAGCTGAAGGGTCACTAAGGAACATAGGCTTGGGGGTGTCAGCAGTCTCTGTCTGAGCAGTAAGCCTGGCCTTTTTATGATGTCGAGTATTATTCAATATCTTTCTCCCACTTTATCCAGGACCTTCTAATGTGATCCTTTCCAAGCACTGGGTTGTGACAACTGGGCACTATCCTGCTCTTGCCCGTCTTGTCTCAGGCTTATGTGGTTCATTAGTCCATCTGGACTGTTTCCATGCATATTTGATTTCCTTCACTCCTCTTTGCCCCAGGTACGGACAGACCAATAGATGGTCTCTCCAATGGAGGCCCCCAGAGATGGCTACACATGAACTTTTAAGACTCCAGTCACTACTCGCCAAAGTAGGATGGAGGCCATTGTCTTTGTGGACTATGATATGCCAATAGATATTGCTGTCCCCAGACCCCATGTGGTCCTTGTATGTTTGAAGGCGCCCTTCATATACAAAGACAGTTATCGTATGAAGATGACTTATCTTCAACGCTTCACTGGCTCCAGTCACGTCTAAACACATTTTGTTTGGAATGAACTTGTACACGTTTTAACTGGAACTCCAGAGACAATGCTTTTTTGATGTACTCTCATAGGCATCAAAGCAGAGGTGCCAGTTTGGGGAAGTGCAATGCCACAGAAATCCATTTGGAGGTGCAGTTTGCAAGATGTTAGCGATACAGGTTACAAAGTGAAGAGGTACCACATTCTTCCAGTCTGTAAGGCACACAGCAGGGGTGGTTTCCTGAATAGTCTTCTCCACGCCAGAAAGACTGAGCTGCAAGACCTCCCCAGGAGACTAACCTAACCAGAAGAGAGTGACCTTTGACAAACAGGGGGATTCTGGAAGAGTCACTTTGGGGGATCGTTGGCATGCAGACACGTTTACCTAAGAGAGTAGGAGTTGGCAGGAAACTTACTTGTTTTGACACATCCGAGAGGAGGTCTGGCGAAGACCTGCACTGTCGTTCATGGTACTGAGACGGATAGTGTTTCCTGAAATCCCAAAATAAGAGTGGTCATTGGAATGATGTTCATGTGAAGACCAGGGTCATATCACTCTCAAAATTCAGTGTAAACGCCCTATGAGGGAGAAAAGCGCGTACCTTTCAAATGGCAAGCTCTTCAGCCTCCCCTTTTTCCCATATTCCAAAAGTTGTCTTTGAGTTCTTCCACTATGTTAAAGAGATCAAAGTTGTATCAATGCTAGTAGACCCCTAACACTTGAAAATCTTGTTTATTGGTGAAGCCCAAGGAGTTGGAATGAATGACATATGTCACGAATCTCTGACCATTACGTGAAGGACAAAAACCTGCCAGACCAGTTCCCCTGGAGTCAGTGCTGCTCATGGTGACTCAGTGTGTGTGTCAGAGGACAACTGTGCTCCCTAGAGTGTCCACTAGCTAGTTTTCCCAAAATAGATCATGAGGCCTTCCTGCCAAGTACCTCTGAATTCAAACCTCCGAGCTGAGATCAGCATAGCAACGACCATGCCAGTTATTTGCATCCACAAGGGACTCCACATTGGATAATGCCCGTGCCGCCCAGGATCAGAAGAAGGACAACGATTACCCAGAATAAAGATGGAAAAGCCTCTAAACGGGGCTGTTTAGCAGTTTTAAAGTCTGAGCTTGAAAAGCGATTGATTTCAAAGGCTTTTCCTCTACATCCAACTCAGAACCAGCTGAGTCTTACTTGACACACTACTTTTACTGATATTGTTTTTCTGGTTTGCCCCAACGAATGGCAGAAGAAAAGCAGCTAACTCAATAGTGGTAGAGAGTTGCTCGAGCCATACATAACACTAGCAATGTAAAGCAGCTGACTGTTGGGAGAAACAGAGTGCAACTGAGCAAGCAAGAAAGAAATCAAAAGAAAAATAAATCCCCCTAAAATCGGACCCTTTAAACCACTGAGATGTAGGGCCTGATAATGCCTCCCCAACCCCACGCTGAGTACAGGCATCACTGCAGAGGATAAGATGTGATGCTTTAAATACCTTAGGTCATTAAGAAAAGAGAAAGCTGTGTTCCATGTACCATATATACCTGAGTATAAGCCGACTTGAATATCAGTCGAGGCACCCAATTTTACCACAAAAACTGCATTAAAAATGTGCTGGGAAACTCGGCTTATACACAAGTATATATGGTAATCTGATGAAGAAGACAGATGTGTAGAATTCACTTTGAAGAGATTACATTAAAATTATGTGGTTTTTTTGTTCTTTTTTTTAATCTTGGTTCTTACTAGGGCAGGCTCCCCAAATGTGAAGAATCCCTTATGTGGAAGCATGGAATTCATTTTTTCCCATTTTGAAAACTTCTTCCAAGGAATTCCTAGGCTCATATATTCAAATAAATACAACATCGTAATTTGAGCTCCTGCACCTTCCTCTATTGTGGTATCTATCTGTAGTGAGAAGCTGCTAGTGTGATCCTGCTCAAGCTTCTAAAGCCCTTATTGCAGCAGTGTGTTCTGACTCTGGCCTATCCATTTCCAAAAGGCTGTAGTAGGGCTTTCCTCTCCTTGACCTATATATGAATTGCCTATAAGGAAAAAAAGGCATTCAATGAATGTTTTCTCAAGCTGAATAGGCTCCCCCTCTTAGCAAAGATTCTAATCTAACCCCCTAGGTAGGGTACCCCCTTCTCCCTACTTCCCAGTTTGGAAACATTGACTTAGGTCACACATGGAATGAATAGTAAAAGGTATCACCTTTCAATTGATTTAAATGGGTTCTTTATTGCTTCTAGAATTTGAGCTCCTCCTAGCGCCTCCCAAGTTATTGAAAGAACAAAAAAAAGGCTGTAGTTTGCCTTCATGCAATATTTGATTACCTATAGCGGAAACTGGACCCTTTGCTACAGAGCAGGGTTTGGGGCTTGGATTTGGGCTCCTCGGAAAGCCGGAAGAAGGCATGGTATTCCACACAAGTCTTCCAGAAAGCCTTGCAGGCATCTCGGCTAGCCATAGTGAACTCCAAGGTGTCCTTGCACAATACCTGCACAAACCAATTTCCATTAAGCACAACATCCTTCAAGAACATCAGAGATCTTCCAGTCCCAAAGCCTGCCGAACTACTGGGACAGGAGTCGAGGCAACCTAACTCCTGATTTTTTTCCTTGGCTCCCTGTAGACGTCGCACCGACTGACGGGAACCTTCCAAGGAGACACAGGGCCACTCGCCAAGCCAATCTCGCTTGGCACACTTGCCTCGCCTCAGACCCTCCTTTGCCGCCGTCCACCCCCTTTCCTTGCCAGGAACATTTTTACCAAGTTATAAATTAGGGGAAAATCAAATCAAAGGGCATCCTTTGAAGGTGACAAAAAGTTATAAATGACCAGCAGGAAAAGGAGTCAGGTTTCTTTTTACAAATGAAAGTGTCTATAAGATGATTCTATGTATTTGTGTCTTTTAAAATATACCAGTTAGTGGCACTTCCTTCTCTTTGTGCTGCGTTATTCTAGGGGGGTCAGTATTGCTCATGGAACATATTCCAGTTTATCCTAGGAGACCTGGGCATTCCCAGACCTAAAATCTCAAGCCTCCCCTATCTACTGACTCCTGGTCTACCCCCTATCTGACTCCCTATCTACTCCCTATCTCCCCTATCTACTGACTCCATATCTGCCCCCTATCTGACTCCTTATCTACTGACTCCCTATCTTCCCCCTATCTGACTCCCTATCTACCCCCTATCTGACTCCCTATCTACTGACTCCCTATCTACCCCCTATCTGACTCCCTATCTACTGACTCCCCTATCTACCCCCTATCTGACTCCTTATCTACTGACTCCCTATCTTCCCCCTATCTGACTCCTTATCTACTGACTCCCTATCTACCCCCTATCTGACTCCCTATCTACTGACTCCCTATCTTCCCCCTATCTGACTCCCTATCTACTGACTCCCCTATCTACTGCCTATGCTGTTGTTAGCAGCCTCACATACCCACTCCCTTCTCTCCTTCCTTTCAGAATACTTTCCTGCTGCCCTAGGTCTCCCCATAAGCTTCCCATTGGATATGCTTTCTAAACTGCTCAAAGGTACACTTCTACAGAAGGCGTAGAGCCAAACAATAATGCTCTAAATTACTGAGTCTTCTGCAGAGCAAACGTTTTCTAATAACCATATTTTTCATTTCCTCCCCAAACCTCCAAACTCATTGCCACAAAGTCAGTGCCAACTCCTAACAACCCCATAGGACAGGGTAAAACTCCCCCTGTGAGCCTCTGAGACTGTAAGTGTTTACAGGAGTAGAAAGCCCCATCGTTCTCCACAGAGAAGCTGTGGGTTCTGAACTGCCCACCTTGCGGTTTGCAGCCCAACACATAACCACTACGCCACCATATGGTGATAAAAGAACATCCTGCTTAGTGCCTTCCATCTCACACTGCACAATGCACCCTTGGTCAACATTTTCTTCTTTTGCTTATATGTACACTCCACCCCTACCCCCCACACATCCCACTTGATTTGGGCACATAATACGTTTTCAATACCTTTTGCTTAAGGCAAAAACGTGAAAATATTTTCAAAAAAAGAGCAGTACCATCAAATGAACGTCACTCCTATGTAGGCCCTCAAATCTCTGAAAACTGTTTTCCAAACCAATTTTCTTTACACCCCTGTCACCCTGTTTTCTGAACTTGCCATTGGTTTCAGAATAGTTTTCCCTTCAGTAAAAATGGACTACAGAGAGCTCTGGCTTATTTATGTAGAAAGAAAAGAGGGAATACATCACTTCTAAGGGCACGCCAATTTTCACCACTTGCATTCAAACCATTTGCAGGAGATACCAAGTAATCCCCAAATACATAGAAAGAAGAACAAATCATTAGAATGTTGCTTACCAAGATGTTGGCATGAAGCTTGATAAGAAAGTGTTTTCTCTTAAAGCTCAACTTGCGGATTTTAGCCCAGTTGAAGGTATTGATCTTTGTGTTTCCCTACAGCAAAACATGAGACAGGTTTCAGGAAGTGTCAGAACGAGGTGATTGGATAAAATATGGCAAACTTAAGAGAAGATAAGCTTTATGAATGGGACCATCCTTGGCATACCTCATAAGCCATGGCCAACGCCCACTGCGATGACTTGAGGGCTGCTATGGTATTGGTAGTTCAAACACCATTAGGGTCAACCGATGGTGTACACGTTTCAGGGGCACTTCCACACTAAGTCAGATTAGGAAGAAAGACTGGCCACCTACCTCGAAAAATGAGCCAATGAAACATTTATGGATCCTAACAATTTTGTCTGACCCGTTTGCTTTGGACACGTCCCCTGGAAGGCTCAGTTACTAGAGGGAGCATCATGGCTGGTGAAGCAGAGGGCCAGTGAGAGTGAAGGAGACTTCGGGGGATGAATTACATACAGCAATCACCACAACGAGAGAGGCAAACATGCCGGCGATTTCGAGACCCACAGAGGATACAACTCTGTTTCCTGTTGTTGGACTTATGGGTACCATGAGTCACAGTCAACTGGCTGTGATGACAGCTCTCTCAGTCTGGCCAAGAAAGGCATTCCGAGTGGGACATAAGACTGCTCTGAAATGCATGCAAGGTTGCTTTTGCTATGATGTTTCAAGAGAACAAAATGCTATCCAGTCCTGCATCATCCTAACAACCACGGTCACGTTCCAGCTTGCTGCTGTAGTCACTGTATCAGCCCGTCTTGTTGAGGGCCTTCCTCTTTGCGGCTGCCCCTCCACTTTAGCAAGCACCAAGTTCTTTTCCAGGGGCCTTGCTCTCCCGATAGCATGGGAGACAAAGCACGGGAGACAAAGTCTCGTCATGTTTGCTTCTGAGGAGCATTCTAGATGCACTTCTCCCAACAGAGATTTATTTCTTGTTTGTTCTTTCGGCAAGAAGGGTATGTGTGGGAAAGGTTTCAAACCAGGGCGGGATGATCACAGTAGGAAAAGACTACTGCAATTGATTCTCTAATTGTACCCCTTCCGATATGTCTAGATTGACCTGCTTTAAAAATATCCTGGACGTGTCCCTTGATAGCATACAAGGCGCCCTAGTGGTGAAGTGGGTTACATGTTCAGCTGTTAACCACAAATGTGTGAATTCATCAGCGGCTCCTCAGGAGAACAATGAGGCTTTCTGTCCTCATAAAGATCACAGTCTCATCTCTGCTCTTCCTTGTGCGACAGGCAGCCACATCTTCTTGCGCAGTCTGAGCCGCACACCGGAGACATGAGGGTGAAGGCTGGAATAAACAGACTTGGCCGCATTGGGCGCCTGGTCACCAAGGCTGCTTCCAACTTGGGCAAAGTGGATGCTGCTGCTATCAACGACCCCTTCATTGAACTAAACTGCATGGTCTGCACATTCGAGTATGATCCAACCCATGGCAAGTTCAATGGCACCGTCAAGGCTGAGAACAAGAAGCTTAACAATGGGAAGGCCATCTCCATCTTCCAGGAGCAAGACCCTACCAAAGTCAAGTGGGGTGAGGCTGGTGCTGAGTATGCCGAAGAGTCCACTGGTGTCTTCACCACCATAGAGAAGGCTGGGCTCATCCGGAGGGCAGTGCCAAAGGGGTGATCATCTATCTTTGCCCCTTCTGCCGATGCCCCTATGTTTGTGATGGGTGTCAACCACCAGAAGTATGACAACTCCCTCAAGATTGTCAGCAATGCCTCCTCCACCGCCAACTGCCTGGACCCCCTGGCCAAGGTCATCCAGGACAACTTTGGCGTTGTGGAGGAACTCATGACCACAGTCCATGCCATCACTGCCACCCAGAAGACCGTGGATGGCCCCTCTGGGAAACTCTGGCGTGATGGCCGTGGGCTGCTCAGAACATCATCCCCGCATCTACAGGTGCTTCCATGGCTGTGAGCAAGGTTATCCGGAGCTGAATGGGAAACTCACTGGCATGGCCTTCCGTGTCCCCACCCCCAAATACTGAGAGCCAAATGGCGGATGAACATGATAGTGGGATAGGAGGAAGGCAAAAACAAATAGAGGAAACAAATAGGATGCAAAAGCTATTTATGGAAGTATAGCTATAGGCATGTATTTATGTAAATATATTTACTTATAATTAAAGGGATAGAAGTCAATGTACATATATTTATATGTTAAGTATTAATACAACAGAAAGACTTTGGGCCTCTACTCAAGGCCTCCCTTAACACAAAAAACACCCTGTTTTGATAGCCTGGCACACTTTGATACTCACCTTCCCTACACAGTTGCTAGAGACAAAATGGGTTCATTAGCAAATGTAGTGAAGGGAGTAGATGGTGCCCAGCTATCAAAAGATATACAGCATCTGGGTTTTAAAGGTTTGAAGTCAAACAAGCAGCCATCTAGCCAGAAAGCAGCAAAGCCCACATGGAAGAAGCACGACAGCCTATGTGATCATGAGGTGTGGACGGGATCAGGTATCAGGTATCTAAAAATCCAAAACAAACAACTATATCAAAGTAAACAAGGGGGGTTGGCGTGGTGACCCAAATCCCATCTGTAGACAATTGGATATTCCCCCACAGAAGGGTTATAAGGAAGGGATGATTCAACCAATGTGTAGTATAGCACTGATAAATCATACATCATTCCTCTTATTCCTGAATGCTTCCTCACCCCTACCATGACCCAGTTCTGACAAATCTGGCTAGACCA